GACATAGAATGAACAAGGTGATGGAAACATTCCTCAGAGATTTTGGTCCTTATTGACCTGAGATTTGTCAGCTGCATATCCATGATCTCAATCTCCTTTTCCACCACATCCAAAAGGTGTTCTATTGGATTGGGATACAGAAACCGTTTGAATACAGTGAGTTCATTGTCATGTTCAATGCCAAGAAAATATCACCCAGACCATTACACTACCAGCCTGATACAAGGCAGGATGGATCCATAGGTTCATGTTAAAGTCAAATTCTAACTGACAGCTGACTGTTGCAACAGAAAAACACTCAGACAAGGGCAATGTTTTTCCAATATTCTGTTAACCAGTTTTGGTGAGTCTATGTGAATCATAGGCTTTCCTGTTCTTTGCTGACAGGAGTGACACCTGGTGTGGTCTTCTGCTGTTGTAGACCATTCAACGATTGTCATCTGCACACCTTGGTTGTACCGAGAGGTTATTTAAGTTTCTGTTGTCTTCTTAACAGTTTGAAACAGTCTGGTCATTCTCCTCTGACCTCAACAAAACATTTTTAGCAATAGTCAAAACTAAATCCAGTTTTGACTATTGAGGTATACACAGCCAAGACCACTAACCACATGACATTAACTAGTAAGCCATATTGGCTGTATGACAATCGTGATGACTATATAGGCTAAAGTGAATAAGGTCCTAGTCACACAGGCTTAGAGACTGGTCCATGGCAACCAATAGTTATTAAGATAAAAAAAATGAGAACTCATCAGGTGGCTTAAAGTGGCTGCATGAGGTTGATAGCAATCACTGATTAAATGATTGCTAAAAGGCCCACTCTTACAGGCCTAGAATCTAGAAATGGACAGTGACCCTCATTTTTTCATAGGACCCACCTTTTACATGACAGGGAGTACATGACAGATGGGTCATGTACTCCCCAACCAGGTGGCAAAAACATGATTACTTTGATTGGTAGCATACTGCTGCGGTTACCTGTAGTTTGCATAAAAAGGCAGACCTGTCTAAAAATACTCTCCTGCTACTCTCCAACCTGTAGAGAAACTGTGAAAAGTGCAACAGAAGCCATAAATGGAAACCATTTCAAAGTAAAAACTGTAGATTTTGAAAAATACCAGTTGCAGTGCAAAGACACATCTTTTACTCTGAGGGTGAACCTCCACCCTTTCCGGTTTGCATCACACTTATTTAAGTTTTAGTACTGCATGGCGAGTAATTGCCTGTAGTTTTTCACGTTTGTCTGCAAACTCTTAGTCATGTAAATCTACTAGTAACCAAAGCAATCACTAGGAGGTTTTTGGAGCAGCACTTTCTTAGAAACCAGTTTCACTTACTGAGAGTCAGCTACCTCAATGAACCACTACCAACTAGTTGGAGAATACACATTCTTTCCTGGCATCATACATTGTGGACAAATCTTGAGTGATGTGCACACGATGTCATGTGAGAAACTCCGATAAAATGCAGTGCTTCTAAAAAGAGGTGTAGTAAGTATGCACTTTTCTTGAACTATAGGCACTCAAACTCTAAAGCTTTTTGCCCCAACTACTTCAGGAAACTTTTTGGTCACGGGCATATCAGTTCAACAATGACAATGTAGGAAATTCAAGTTTAAAATAAAGCACAATATCCAGTGTAGACTTTTTTTTTAATATTAAGAAAGGTCCCTGTACAACGGCAGAAGGAGCTCGATGTATAATACCAGCTAATAAACTGGACTCCATCCCGGTTGACTGCTGGACTTTGCCAATAACTCTAACTTTTAACTTTTGTAACTAACTGTAACTTTTATAGACACAATTTCTAGGCATAGTCAAGTGATGGATAGTTTCTGCTTGAGTGGCTTCAAGATGAGATGTTGTGAAGCAGCAGGAATGAGAATTAGCATTTCCAAGTCCGATGCAATGGTTCTCAACCAGAAAAGAATGACAACTCTGAATCAGAAACAAATTGCTGGAAAGTGGATGAGTTTAAGTATCTCAGGATTTTGTTCACTAGTGAGGCGAGAGTTGATTGGGGAAACTAAAATGCAGATTGGGGTCATGTCTGCAGCGATGTGGATGCCGTGACAGTCTGTAGTGGTGAAGAGAGAGCTGAGTTTGAATGCAAAACTGCTGATTTATGTCTCTACCCTCTCCTACGGTCATGAGCTAAAGAATGAGACTGTAGATGAGATGGTAGCAGAAGAAACTAGGTTTCTCCAAAGAGTAGCTGGGCTCTCCTTAGATAAAGGTGTGGAGCTCAGTCATTCAGAACAGGTTCAGTAGTAGAGCTGCTACTCCTCCACACCGCAAGGAGCCAATTGAGGAGGTTCGGGCATCTGACTAAATTACCTCCTCGGCGCTTCCTAAGTATGGTGTTTCAGGCACGTACTACCGAGAGGTTTCAGAGCAGCTCAGCCTGGGGGACATAGAGATTATATCTCTGTCCCCCAGGCTGAGCTGAAGGAAGCGGTTGGAGGGAGAGAGGGTCTGGACTTCTCTGCTTAGACAGTTGTTCCTATAACCTGAACCCAGATAAGCAGCAGGGAATGGATATGGATAAATTGATTGATAGATGTATGGATGAAATATTCAGGCACAATAGACTGTTTTGGGTTTTTTGCTCAAGTTACCCGGCTCTTCTTTTTTTTTTTCAGCTTTATGAAGAATAATGTTTTGTTAACTAGAGAGTCTTTATTAGTCACTTATATGAGAGAATCCATCGGTTTCTCCAGTATTTGACCTATCATTAAACAACATCTATACTTGACAGCTTTTAAGAGAAACATATCAAGCCCTCCTCCCACTGAATCAACTCATCTACACTGTTGCTGGTAATGTATTCTCAGTCATCCAATAAGGTTAAATGAGTGTTAATTTCAGAACATTCCCATTATCCAGTTAGCTCTTAATGGACATGAGATACTTGAGGAATGGATTAAAAACTTGCAATCTTCTCATTTGCTGTGTAGCCTGTGTTTCAACATACACAATCCCAGTAGACACAAAGCAATTAGTGGTTTTGAAAGATTATAAGTGACGTTTTAAAAGCCAAGATGATTTCTGAAAAGCCCACTGATGGTCATCCTGAAAACTAGTGAACTTGACTTGGAGAGTTTAGTGGTCAAATTCATTGGGGAAATTAAGCAATTAGCAAGCTTGAAAAACTGAATACCAGTATCCTGTCACTGTATAATAGTTCATAGAGCATCTGTGGTGACACAGTCATATAGAGCACACATCTTCACATATGCACATCTCCCTCTGTTTCACTTGACCACTTGTAATAGAAGTGGTATTTGTGTGCATTAACACACACACACACAAAAATAAATAAATAAACAATCATTGTGAACTGAGAGCCCTGCATATGAGCTGATATACTGAATCAGGTCCAAAAATAAAATGGTTCATTTATCCAGGATTGCTTTAGATGCTCAAGCATATGCCTGCCTATTGTATTTATGAATGCCGCTACTTTCTACAAGGATTAATAAGGTCTATTGTCCTAGGTTAGCCTTGAGCATAACACATTTCCTATTCATACTCTAATCGGCCCCTCCATGCTCAAACCTTAGATGTTTCTTATAACTCCGGAAAAAGCCACACAGCAGAAAAAAGTCTATACTACCGTCTAAAATCTGTGCTGCTGTTTCTTGTTTTCCTGTCTCTATATAATCATGCTCCATTTCACTTTATATCTTTTTAAAGTAAAGTAAATCCCTCTGAAATACAACAGCCTACCATTTCACTTTGGGCTGACAAATTTTCACACATTACTGACAAAAGATTAAAGAAACAGCTGCCCTCAAATAGTACACACTTTGTTGTTTAAGGTCACTGACTGCTTATGATTTTGCACAATGAACTTGTAGTGTCTTATGAGAGATTAAGGGGCAACAGCAGCACAGTTATTTAACAAGGGTGGTGGCAGTGAGCTCCTTCAAATCCATTTAAGAAGGATTCATGTCATTGTTTTGTTTTAACCAGCAGCCAAAGGTGTAAACTTCTCTCATTCAGTCCCTCTTAAGCATCACTCGGGAGGCAATGTTGCGATCTAAGGGCCTAAATGTACTTTAGACCATTGCCTTCTTGCATTTTCTAAGGAACTAAGTGAGGAGAGCAGCAGATCAGGAAGCGAGGTTTCTGGCACCACTCACCAGGACCACAGTCATCACATCTAATGGGCTTTTTGTTGAAAATCTAATTAAAACCGGGATGGTAAGTAGATGACTTGTTTTCCTCACATTTCTTCAGTATGACTAATGCTGCTTAACAGGATCTGCCCCCTTCTCCCCCATTTACAACCAAACACTGCAAAGACAGTTACCAATGTCATTATTTAGGGTTTTTTTTTTAAAGAATTTAAATAACAATTTAGAATTTTACTATTAAAACATGATACATTACTTACTGTATTGCACCAAATACTGCTGTTAGTCTGGAAATTTAATATTCCACAATATAATATGCAGGAGCATACCATCACACATAGGTTTATACATATTATAGGACAGCAAGTGGCCAAGCTTTCACTCTACATCGATATCTGGGATATAATGATTGCCAGGGTCATGTGTTAAGCTGCAAAACTGTCTTGATTGTGTCCAATAAAGCGCAGACTTTGGCCCAGCCGCACTCTTATAAGCACACCACCTGAACGGGCCCCTTAAGATCGGGCTGCACAGGTTGTTGTCAAACCTGTAAAGAGCATGGGGGAGTCAATGGAGAGCTAGCGCCCATTTGTTTCCTCGACACTAGCCAGTCACAGTTATTCAAATCAGGTGGTTTTTTTTATATAGTGGAAGCCATGCAGGCCTTACTGGGCAGCATCTCCTCCCTCTGCTGACCTGCCAATCTGTGCACTCGACTCATAACACCGAGATAGTTCTACCCCACCACCCAAACTTCACTCAGGTGGGGAAACCCCATTAACCCCCACTCCCTACAGCCGACAAAGGCATTTTTAGTGAGAGAGGAATGCGGGCTTGGCATTGCTCTCCCCTTCGAGCTTACCGAGAAGCAACAGTTTCAGCTCCCGGCGTGCGTCCCTCTTATCCCGGCGGAGCTGCCTTTCGATCTCGTCGTTGATCCGCCTGGCTTCTTTCGCCTCCTCGCTGAGGCAACACGCCATTATGGATTCCAGGGTCATTCTCTCTCCTTTTGTAAAACTCGCACTCCTTTCCCCTCTCAGTGATTCATCCAGATTTCAGGGGCAGAAGGAAAGAAAGGAAAAGAAAGAAAGAAAGAAAAAAAAACAGGCCTGTGAATGCCAAATAACGTCCTCATACAGGCCTACTGGTGGTGAAATAACGCGTGGACGCCCTTATAATGAGTCCCAACAGCGCACAGATTGTGGTGGAAAGGAAAATTAGATATTTGAGAAATTATTGACCCCCCCACCCCCTCCCCTTGCTTCGCTTCGCTTTTCTGGGGCCTCCCGACAGCTTCAAAACAACAGTCCAAAGCGGTTTCGGTGGAATATCTGTGCAATCTTAATTGGTGTAATCTGCTTTCCCGTCTCAATATGATCAACAGATCCTTTTAAGACACATCCTCTGTACTGCTCAGTGTGATCTCGTTAAGCATTGTCATCCGAGCCGGGCCACCCTCTCTTCAAAGTCGTCAATGTTGATATTTTTCATTAAACGAAATCCCTCGCGTTCAGGTTACCGTCTGCGGATGAGGGCAACAAGAAAAACGCATGAATAAGGCTGTCCGTTTATTTTCCAATGGCTCGACTCCCGGGCGTGGTAAGGCAGAATATGGCGGACTTTCACTCCAATCCGCTAGGCTGGGATACAGTACAGTTATCTCTCTCGGTGCGCTCAAAAAGCCAAGAAAGCCGCACATAACACAACATTTCTGCCCGAGCTCTTGATAGAGAGGCGAAAAAACATCCCAGTGCGCCTCAGAAGAGAGCTCAAGTCCACGGTTCACGAGCGGAACGTGAAGAAAGGAATAACAGCCGTGTTGTTGCTTTTCCCCCGGCCAATCTTCTCCTTTTCCTCAATTCTCTTCATGTATTTTTATTGCACAGGCCATCCACTCCTCCGCTGGCAGGGTGACGTCGGCCTCCCATCGACCAAGGGGGAGTGTCACGTCAAACAAACGCCACACAAGTCATTTATACACCAACCTGTGGAATAGAAAATGCGTATGACGGGATATGTTGGGACTTCATATCTCTGTTTTACAGTTTCCATTTCAATCCTGTTTTTTTTTTTCTTTTTTCTTGTGTGTGTGTGTGCTCTCACTGGGTGGGAGGAGGTCCTTATGGAGAGCCATAGGAAGTACAGTTTATGTTTTAGTGATTGCGTGATGAGCGCCTAGTGGAAGTTAACCTTGCACACTCTGATTGTGTTTCAGTGGACATAACATAGTTACACAGTATACAATCAAACGGCACTGCAGTAAACTCTGAAGGTCATTTTGTGCTATTTTTGGCGAGGCACTGAGGCGTTTACTTAACTTAGCTGTTAGACTCTTTGCTCTTTATGAGCTTCTTTGACACGTCATTAAAATGCAGTTTTTATTCACATATTTATACCTGTCTAAAACTAATGGTCCGTCACACCATCACTTTTACGCTTTAGAGCGATCTCCAGCTAACTTTCAAGTCAACTGGAGGGTTACATTTGTGTTTTGTTCAATATTGTCTTCTTGTGGTGTGGTGTAATTGTGGTACATTTCTTTTTTTCCAAGCTTTGACTTACAGTCTATCAAAAACATATTGTATACATACTGTAGCATTTTCAAGTAGAGTATACTCTACTTGAGGGCTGAAAATACGTAATACAAATTTCATCATTTACACAAAACCTTTTTTTCTTCCAAGTGCTTTCAATGTAACGTTCACACTCCAGTGAACACAACTTGGTCATGCCCATGGATACTTTGGCATGCAGCCTAGAACAGCCAAAAATCGAACCACCAATCTTCCAATTATTAGCTCTACCTCTTGACCTACAGCCATTATTATATCAATTCTAGGTCTAATCCCTTGCTAAGACCAATAGTGTCAATCTTAGTCTAAAATTTCACTAAATTCAAAGGAAACCAGGTCTGTCTGCAGTATTTAATGGATTGCATTTATATAGCGCTTTTCGAGACCCTCAAAGCGCTTTACAATTCCACTATTCATTCACTCTCACATTCACACACTGGTGGAGGCAAGCTACAGTTGTAGCATGGGACAGACTGACAGAAGCGAGGCTGCCATATCGCGCCATCGGCCCCTCTGGCCAACACCAGTAGGCGGTAGTATTTGTCACATTAAAGTTAAGGGGGGAGAAAGAGTCCAGTGTCCCAATTGCAGAAAGGACAATATACACAGTCCAAGTCCAGACCCAGCTGTGCTGCAGGTCAGCAGCAACACTCTCAAGTACACTGGTAACTTCAACAGGACACAGCGGTTGTCCTCCTAGACCCACCACCCTGTATGGAGTAGGTCGGCATTACCCCAGCCTCAGCAAGCTAACTCTGCCTTCAGGCAGCAGGATGCAGTAGGCCCACAGAAAAAGTTTGTAAGTTTGTAGTGTGGGGTATAAGTAGACTAGAAAATAAGTGCAGTCAGATACACCTCCCTTCAGTTAACCCCACCTAAACGCAGCCATTGGCTCATAGTAATTGTGAAACACACACAAAACCAACTCCAAATAAGTGTCAACTTCCCACAGCAAAACAGAGGTGAGTGCCCAGGTGATGCCACTCAGGTGATTGCATTACAGTAGCCCGAACATTATTTCCTTTAACCCTATTTTAATTTTTATTGGATTGTCTTTTACAAACTGTGGAGTTTGATTGCTATCAGTCCTTCTAGAAATATGTCATTACTTATCAGTGAATTAAAAAGGACCACATGGTGGAGGTCCCACTTTCACAGTCTGTGGAGGCAGTGGAAATACAGTGCTTATCACTGTAATGTGTACATGAAAATTGGGTTTGTGAATGTTATATGTTAGCACTGGGAGACAAAAGAAGAGAGGCAATTGAGGTGCTATTATTTTGGTATTCCTTGAAGTATTCAGGAGAACATGTTAGATCCTTCATATCCACCACTGTGAATATGAAGGATCCCTTCCTGATTTCTTTTTTTTCTTTGCATATTTGTTACACTTGCGTTTTTCAGATCACCAAACAAATTTTAATATTAAATCAAGCCCTTGTATATACCTCAAACAATCTGGAGAGTTATGCAGCAGGTGTTATTTTTTCTGTATTTTCATTTGTTATATCCTTTTTCAAATCTCTCTTTGAAGAGACCTGGCCAAGAGGATAGTAGAAGCTGTAATAAAAACAACATAAGTAAATAAACAAATTCAGCTGGCATTTAGTAAAGACATGTGAAAAGCACACATGTGAATCATGTGCAATTAGACATCAAAACCAGGAGCACCTTCAAAAGCCGTCACATTGAAAAGAAAAATAAAAAGCATAGAAAAAAGTGCTTGTATGAATGGGTGAATAAGGCGAGTTGTGTAAAGCACTTTGTGTGCTCACAAAGAGTAGAAAACTGCTTTATAAGAACCAGTCCATTTACCATTGAGCAACAAAACTATTCTCTCAATGCTATAAATAAACAATATCTTCAGTAACTGCATTTTGTCATTTAAGTAGCTCCTGAGCATACAGGAGACTTTTTATTATTCTGCCTATGAGAATGGGTTTAGAATTTAGGTCTCAAGCATTACAATGATCAAGATCTTGAGCCTAAATCTCTTTTCTGCATTGTTTCCATTTTACTTCTTAATTTGAGCCATGTAGTCACATGCCACTATCATTATCTAAAACCTTGAAATGGAAAGCATGAGTTTTAGATGGCTGTTTTCCCGAGATTTTGTGACTTTTTAACTGCCTCATAAAAAGAACTGTACAGTACACTCCTAATGCTTTCAGCAATGCGTAACATGGGTGAAGCAAATGGGCCTTGCACCATCAAGTCTGAGTTAGGGATTATAGCAAAGTGAAGCCACCTTATGCTTTTTTTTTTTTAATTTTGCCTTACTCCACTAACACATTAAAGTAATTATAGTACATGTGAGCTAAGGAACTTCAAAGGAAGAATTTCTAAGGAAGCTAAGGAATCCTCGAAACATTTTTTAAATATGAAAATACATGTAATAGCAAAGTTTGGTTGTGATCTCCGTACATACAAAGATAATGGCTCTTTAGAGAACAAAGTAAGTGAAAAGATATACACATTCATACTAGAAAACTCTTAAACATCGGAGTAACATGGATTATTTGTTATATTGTAAAAGTGTAACTATATTTATACACAATTAAGCCTTTTGCTGCAAGCAAAAAAAGTTAGAATTGAGGTCATCTCACATAGGTATTGAGCAGTGTTGATTGTAACCTAACTAAGTGGCCTATTTAGACCGTTTAAATGGGGGCGTGCCAGTGACTCAGTGGTTAATTGCATGTGATGTATTTGTTCAAATCTAGTTTATGAAGCCTCGCTGATCTTATCTTTTCTCACTGCAACTGGGAAAGAAAGGACTGAAGAAGAACCTGAATAAAAGATGTAAAAAGGAGAACTGTAAAATATTTCAAGTAGTAGAATTAATGTTATGTGTCCAGAGACCTGTCTGAGGTGTCCCAGATTTGCAGCTTGGGGAGTTTATTCGGCCTGTGCCCATAATAAATGTCTACATACCGGCCCTCTAAAGGGAGAGTCATCCACAGGTCAGTGACTTTCTAACCTGTCAAGTTTAATTGATTTTAATGAGGAGATTTCACTTAAAACAAACCATGTTCCATGCTGCCAAACCATAATGCTTCACCTGTGTTAATTCCTCCACTAAAAACATGCAAACTTGTATTTTGGATGGAATTTTTTTTTTTTTGTGTGTGTGTGTGTGTGTGTGGGGGGGGCACTGAGAGGAGTCGTATGCTGTCTCTAGTTAAGTGTATGTTATATACACTTTATAATATCTTCATTTAGGATTTGCAATTCAACCAATGCCTCTGGGGATATATGGGGAAAAGAATAAGAAAAAAAGCCATCTTTGCTTTTGCTTTAATGTGAAAATAAAATTATTAGGGTCCACCATAGGTCTAGACCACTGTAGTTTAAGTCCTGGTTTTGGAAAAGAAAATGTTCCCTCTAGGCAGTGTTTTGCATTTTTTGGTGCACATGATGAGCTTGGGCAATGGATACACTGCAGTGAGCAAAGAGGATTTTAGTAAGCTACCCTGTGGTGAAATATACCCAAAAGCCAGTACATTCGCCTGGATTACTCCTGAAAAAACAAACATTCCTAAAAAATTGTGTTTTTTGTGTTCATTTGTATTCACGTTTGTCCAGTTATAGAGCAAACAGTGAACAGACTTTTATTTTTGTAAGTTTCCGGTTACTTCCTTTTGTTTCTCACGTGACCTCGTCCTCGCCTGGTTACGAGAAAGCGTCGCCTCCTGGTCGCTACGGAGGGAGGGATGGGTGTTTTGTAGTTAAAAAGACACTTTTGTGCACTTTCCCACGCAGTTAGGACAGCGGTCTGTCATGGCAGTGTGTGGGAAACAGTTCGCTTTTGTTAAAATAACAACTTTTCCAAGCTTTAACGCGTGCCCGTCTATGTTCTACTGCCACTAATGCATTGATCTTTCTTAGAATGACAGATAAAGATTAGTTAGCATGCTAGCAAGCTAGCTCCTCAGCCTCTGCATCACACAGCGACGACACCTGCCAGTGACAGGTAAGAAACCCTTCTTCTGTGCGCTACAAGTGTGCGCGAGTCATCATCCATTTTTCAGCTTTATTAACTACGGTTAAAATCCACCGAGTACCGTTGCATAATGATCGCCAGCAAAGTTCTTAGCAGGTGTTTTCCAGTGACTAATACCTTGTGACAGTAATGATGCCGCTGTAATAGGATTTGAGCCCTCTCCTTCCTGTCGCTTGTTTGTGGAGTGGAGTACACCGGGATAACGAGGGTGGGGCGTAGCTGTGCGTGTGTGAGAAAGTACTGTTTGTATTCTGTTTGCTGAATGATTTCCACCAAAATGTCACACAAGGCTTCTAACTCACTAAAAACAG